CCGGCGTTAGGCTCCCCACACCCTTGTGCACCACAGGTACCCTTGGTCGCTCGGCGGATCACGGAGCGACCTCACCGGCGAAAGCATGGCGCCACGGTAGACGGTGATTTGACTCGTCATCTCCGACGACGGCATGTCCTGTTGAGCGCGGCTACAACATCAGCAGGTCCTAACAGAGCTCTAGGGTTAGGTTAGGGCGACGGTGGAGCGGCGACGAAGCTTGGCCGCGTGCATGGCGGCACGGCGGCGCACAGAGCGTGGCGATGGTGTTGTCGTTCCGGCGATCCGGTGATGGGTGACGAGTCTCCATCTTCAGTGATGGTGCTAGGGTTAGTGGAGGTGCGGAAACATGTGCTAGAGGGGAACGACGGGTCTAGCTAAGGTCGCCACAAATGAATGGGCTTCGTGGCCATATGCGGGTGAGTGCGGTGTAGTCGCATGCGTTCTCGAGACAAACAAGCGGTAATGGTGAACTAGGCTACGGCGCGAGCACCTACAACCTAAAGGCGATTACGGACCAACAGAGAAGGAGGTAGGAGTCTGCGGTGGATAGGGTCACACGGAGAGCTTGGAGCTCGACGGCGCTAACGACTATTACGGCGATCATGACGGCCCGTAGGCCTTTACCTTGGTTCGAGCTACGGCAATGTTGGGTCGGCGAGGTAGAGGAGGTGATGGTGGAGTCAGGGCTCGAGTGATTGAGCGGTGGTGCTATGGTGTGGTGTTCGAGCACGGCGGAGGCATGGTGGCCACACTGCTGTGGTGCTGCTCCGCTCTGGAGAGGCGCGCGGGCGAGAGAGAAAGCGAGAGCGAGAGTGAGCGCGTGGGTGAGTGGAGAGCCGAGGTCTCTCCCTTTCGTGACAGCGGTATGGGCCGACGTCGACGGACTACCGCCACATGGCGCGAGGGCCAATTTAGTCCGTCTGACAAATCGATTTTCAAAGCTCCAAATCTCCCAAACCGTGGTGAATCAGTGAAAACTTCATTAATACACAGTGTAGAGCTACATGAGTACTACAAGATTGCTTAAAGGAGTTTTATCTAAATCGCAATGGTTTTCAAACTATAAGGCTCCAAAATAGGCTACATTGAAACTGAAAACAGCTTCAAGACAAAAAAAATTCTAAGTTACAAACAACATTAAGTTGAAATTTGTGAGCTCTATTTGACCATGTTAGGCAATTGATTTAGCTCATGACCCTTAAATAAAGTTTATTACCCTTGATGTGAACTACAACTTTTATTTAGGTCGGACAACCATGCAAATATTCTAAGCCTTTGTTCAACTTTGATCAAACTAGCATCATGAAAATGGCATTCCAAGGTAACCCAACACTTAGAAGCAAAATTGGTTCATGTCATGAATACAAAAGTTGTTCCATTTACCATCCTAGATGTATCTAAGGTATTGTTGTGACCTTACAACCATTTCATACATTGGTCATACATGATTACAAGCATTAGCATATATATATATAATCAACATTTCATGCAATAATGTATAAGAATGAGATGAAATTGCATATGCTCATATTCATGAATGCTTGGATGATGCTTGTGCTCATGAAATGCAAGTGCCAAATGCCATGCTTAAAACACTGGGATGTTACACTTATTAACCATGCAATTAAAAAAGGTAAACATGAAAAAAGTGAGAATTCTATTTATAATCAAAAGTTATTTATTTTATGATGAAGGAGTATTTATAATCAAAAGGGGTATGTGGAATGCTAAAGCAAGCTATATTTACAGTTGGAGGGAACCATATATTATGGAAAATCTTTTCATAGTAAACAATCTAATAGCAGTGACACCTCCACCACCATCAATCTACATATATAATTTTTTAATATCAATAGTTAAATGAAAAAAGTCTGGGTTACGCCAGCTTGGCTGCACTCATACAGGTGGAGCTGTTGCTGTACTGGTGTTGATCCACTTACACTGCTACAGGGTTAGGCAAATGTTCGCTTAAATTTATCAAATAGAATCTACAATATTTTTCTCTCATAATAAATCAGCTTCAGCCGACTTTATCAGCCGGCTTTAATACCAGCCAATAACAGGCCATTTATGCAGCCGCACAGTCCTACAGCAGGAGCTCATGTGCAGTCTCAAAATTGCTGCCGACCCACTCACATGACTACAAGATTTCTTTTTTTCTTAAAAAGTTGTCCCTACTAAGGATAGGTATATGACACCAGTCCCAGTCTCCAAAACCGTCTCATATTTTTGACGTGGAAGAGAAAGAAGAATGTTTGAGAAAGAGGTAGTTGTTTCGTGAAGAAACCTCTGTATGAGCAAAAATTTAGAATTACTTCATATGAGAACTATTTCACAGTTTGTACTCAATCCACACGTGAGGAGTCAGAAAATTTGCATGCTCTAGACATGGAACAAAAATATTTATATGAAGAAGAAGACGTTCCATAAATGGTAATTCTCTCGTGAGGCGTCCGGGACCGACGGACGCGCATCCCCACTCGCTACCTTATCCGTCCGCACCGCTTCAAAAAATTCTCTCTAGTGCGCTCGGCCTCCACCGTCGCGGTCTTATCCATCGCTCCATTGGACCTCCACGCCCGACTCCACCGCTCGCTTTGCACCACGGCATCCACCCGCACGGCCGCCTCCTTCATCCGCTCACGTCGCCCGGCGGGTGCTCACCTAGGCGTGCTTTCCTTGCAGATGTTGCTCGCCTAGGGTGCTCGTGTGCTTGTTGCGCAGTGCTCACCGAGCCCGTCGAGCAGGTCCTCACCTAAAGGCGCACTGCTTGAGCTCCATGCGCCGCCACCAACCTCTGCGATTCGTCCAAGCGAAGAGGTGACATTATGCTGCTGAAAACGCATGTTGCAATAGTATGTTTCAAGTGTTTGGTTGTTTCATCTGGATGTTGCAAGTGTTTTATGTGGATGTTGTAAAAGTAGATCGAAATGTTGCATATATTGCAATGGTGGTTGTGCGTGTATGTTGCAAGCTTTTGTTCCCAATGTTTCGCTATTTTTCCGAACGTATATTGCAAGTGTGTTTATTTGGATGTTGCATATGTTTACATATGTTATAAGTGTTTTATTTGGATGTTGCGATGTTTTACATGGTTTTCAAGTGTTTTTCGGTGTTTTTTGCAAATATTTCAGATGCATGTTTCAAGTGTTTCATATACTTTCTCACATATGTTACAAGTGGTGCATCCCGAATGTTTCAAAAGTAGATCGGTGTTGCATCTCTCTCCTCACTTTTACTGTAGCCTTTTGTCTCGTCTCCTCCTTCTCCTGCTGGCGCCTCCTCCTCTAGGCACCGGCTGGGCATCCGCCGCCTCTCTCCTCTCTATCTCGATGCTAGTCACGTTTGGGGCAGCGCGAGCCCAGCGTGGGCGCGTGAAACGGCGCGGAAAAACACACTGCATGTGCGCCCGTGTGGGCGCCGGCGGACATCCGGACACTAGCAAACCCCTTCCATAAATCGCTGAGGACAGGCTTGACCTAACCAGACCCGATCCTAATAAGTCTCACGTAGGCGGGCCACAAGATCTTCACAGTTTTGGGCATCTGTTTCGTCGTGGACCCACACAAGAGGCGATTCGATCCACGGCGACACGTCAACTGGTGGCGTCGTACGCGCGCGCGCGCGCCTCTCTCTCTCTCGTCATATATAGAAAAGAAAGAGATAAAACATGACGGCGCCGTGAATCGGAGGACGCGAAACAATTGGCGGCGGCGGCGCGGAGAGTTGGAGGGTGGCAAGCCGGCCGGCCAGTTGAGCGCGGACGGCGGCGGCTGTTGCCGCCATGCATGCAGCTGAGCTGGGGAGAGGAGGCACAAGCGAACGGGAGAACTTAACGGAGCTGAGCTGGGTTGCAGGTCCCGTTTGGGGCAATTTGCGCATTTATCTGACGCGACACGACACGACACGACACGACGGCGCCTCAGCATAAAATTTGTATTTTTGCATAGCATCATTCGACACACTTTCGGCGTCCCTTTGGCTCTGCCTTGATCCTTGTACGCCAGCATGACGCACTGCTCGTACCATCAAATGTGCATTGAAATAGACCAGCCGCATGTAGTATGCATGTTCGGCGGGACCAAAAAATCTTGTTCCGTACCGATTGTTGTGAGAGAAAAATCCTTCACGACGGGATATGAACAGTGATTTCATGAGAGATAGAACCAGCCAGCTGGCTGGCAACTAGCCAGCCGAACGGCCCCATAACCGATCAAAAAGAACAACAATGCTCCTATTTTTTCAATGAAAAAGAGTATTTTCTCTCGCAACAAATCAGCATCAACACCTAATTTTCAATGAACTGAATAGCCAATTTTCAATGAACCGAACAGGAACAATATATTTGCCACGCACTGTTGCACTTGCATATTGACGATGATAGCTCGGTCCGGAGAGGAAATCATTTAACATTGTTATTTCTGGACATGAGATGACAACCAATATTAAAATATGAGAAAAGAAAAGAAAAGAAAAATGAGAGTACGTACATTTTTTGATCAAATCAAGAGAAAAGAAAAGAGAAGAAAAATGAGAAAAGCTAAAAACACAGTACTACTATTAAAATTAATAGCACAGGGAACACTAGAAAAATTTTATGATATTGTGACAGCATCGTGCGTTGCATCCACACGAATCACATCCATCTTCCCCGGCCGTACGTACGTGTCCATCCAGCCATCCGTCAACCAACCAACAGCTAGGATGACCTTCACCGTGGAGTAATTAATAACTGTAATTTAATTATACCGCCGCGCGCCATAATCACCCTCCCGTAACAGCATGCAATGCACCGCACGACACGCACGTACACGTGGCAGCAACTTACCCAGCCAGAGAGCCCAGAGCAGCTAGTAACTTGTAGTAAAGTTTTTTTTAAAAAAACTTTTCACCATCACTCCGCCGTGGCCGTCGCCGTCGCCGTCACGGCGGGGTGGTTCCGCTCGACGATGGCAGCGCGGAGCGGGTTCTTCATGACGACGGTGAACGCGAACGTCTCAGTAGGATCCGGCGGTCCTCGCCGGCGGGGGCGTCCACCGGAACGCGCGCACCATGTTGGCGAGCATGAGCTGGATGTGGAGCACGCCGAGCGTGGCGGCGGGGCAGATCCGGCGCCCGGCGCCGAAGGGCATCATGCGCAGCGCGCGGGTGCCCGTGATGTCGGTGTCGAACCCTTCGCCGCCCTCCAGGAACCGCTCGGGCCGCCACAGCTCCGGGTCCGGCCACGTCGCCGGGTTCTCCGTCACCCACGCCGTGTAGAACTCCACGCTGGCGTCGGCGGGGACGCGGTACCCGCCCAGCTCCGTGTCCCGCGTCGCCGCGTGCGACAGCACGAAGTGGCTCGGCGGGTGACGCCGGAACGTCTCCTTCACTACCGCCTGCACATGCACCAGGGAAATTAAAACGGTCGTCGTCGTCGTCGTCATCGGCGGCGGCGGCGCTGAGGGACCAACATGCCCCTGGGAATGTGCGTGCGTGCGCGTGCGACCATCGCTTTCGGTTTTCAGCTATATACAGTTGTGGTATTAAAACCCAGGAAACGAACAGGCTGTTGGTCTTGGAGTACGTCGTTTTCACGACGGATGAACACTTTTTGAAAGATAAGGCAGGAGCTCTACTGCTTAATTAAAAAGAAAATAAGTTTTATGTACAGCACTAATGGTGTAAAAAAAAACCCGGTTATAGGACCAGCACTAATGGCGTCAACTGTTCCTAATTAGTAGCCGCAATTTTGTTCGCAAGTCGGAGTCAAGTACACTCTCCTACTTCGTTGGTAGAGAAAAACATCATTTTTAATTTTAATTAAGAGACTGATTTTAGTTGCTGACGGATGAAGCAATGTATAGTGATCACTACAGTATGACTGTCTTTCAGATGAAAGCGAAAGTGAAGCCGTCCATTTGCTACCTAGTACTACCTACCAGTACCAAGGAATATATCATGTCAACTATTCTGTTTAATTTTCCTTTTATTTAATCCATTCAATTCATTTGGGATCGATCGCGCATAATCTGTATAGTGGAAGCTTATCCATCTGCAATTTCATATCCAAAAATTCAACTACCAGTTTCGTGCAGTCAAAAAATATTCACTACTCCTATGTGCAAATTGAACTAGTCTAGTATATATTGCGACATTTGTGCCAAACTCCTATCACATTCCCGTGTTCTTAACAATGTATTTCCCAATGTGTGTGTGCGTGTGTTTTATCGAATTCCAATGTTGTTTGGAACTTCCGTGTTTGTTCTATAAGTCCGAAACCGAAATGAATGGAAAGAAAGGCCATCAGAAAGTTCAGTAGAACTAGTGTTTACCTGGAGGTAAGGCATGGCCTCGACGTCGGCTTCGGTGATCCGGGCGGTCTTGCCTGCCTTGGCGACGACCTCGTCGTAGAGGCGCTCCTGCGCGGCGGGGTCGAGGATGAGGTGCATCATGGCCCACTCCAGCGCGGTGGCGCTGGTGTCGGTGCCGGCGCTCATGACCTCGGAACAGAGCGTAACGAGCTCCTCCTCACCGAGGCGCTTCCCGCGGCCGGGCGGCTCCAGGTCGAACAGCGAGTCCACGTACGCCTCCCCGGGCCTGCTCATCATCTCCCACGCCGCCCTTCGCCGCCGCCGCCCCCTTGTTGCCGTCGCGGAGGAAGTCCCTCCGCGCGCGGACGAGCGGCGCGAGGCAGTCGAGCTGGCGGCGGCGCAGGGCGCGGGCCTCGGACAGCTGCTTCCTGAAGAGCGGCGTGAGGAGGGCAAGAAGTCCGGGAGCTTGGGCAAGGAAATCATCATCACGTCCTTGAGCACCTCCTCGATCTCCCGGATGAGCTCGTCGGGGATCTTGGCGCCGAAGCAGATGCAGATGAGGATGCTGCAGATGGTGAGGCGGCAGCCGGCCATCACCCGCACAGCACCCTCCGCGTTGAGCTCGGCGCGGAGGCGGCGCAGGTGCGCGTCCACGGCCCACTCCCGAATCCAGGAGAAGGACTTGACGCGGTGCGGGGACACGATCTCGGCGACGAAGTTGCGGCGGAGCGCGCGCCACAGCGGGCCGTAGGGCGCCGAGTTGACGGTGCACTTGCCGACGCTGAAGAGGAGGCGGGTGGGGCTGTCCTCGGGCCGGCTCGCGAACATGGGGGCCCTGCTTGACGAGCGCCTCGTGGATGAGGTCCGCCGACGTGACCACGATCAGGGTGCGCTGCCCCATCCGCATCGTGAAGATGGGACCGTACCTTCCCGGAGGTCGCGCACCACGTACATGAACGGACGCCGCTGCAGGATCACCTGGAACAGGTTCCCCACCACCGGCCAACCCGGCGGACCCGGCGGGAGCCCGTCGACGCCGCCCGTCTTGGAGCACCAGCGCCACCACATCCCCGCCAGCGCCGCCGCCAGCACCACCACCAGCACGTCGTTCACATCCATCGATGATCTCTGTCTCTCTCTCTCTTGCTTCTTGGCTATGGCTGCCGCGCGCTTCCACCACCGGCCAGCCAGAAATGAACCAGCTAGCTGTCTGTCAGCGTGGGTTTACTGCTGCTGCTGAGCTGAGCAGTGAGCAATGGCGGTGGGGGAGGGCACTGGGTGGTGGAGCTAGCGCTATATAGCGGAGGGGCGAGGTGAAGCTCGGCTCGGTACCGTGGCGGCGTAAATGCGCGCCATCTACCATCTGAAAGAGGGTCATCAATGCTCCTGCGTGTCATTCAATGGGAGCTCGGAGAAAACCAGCAGCAGCACCAGCTAGCAGCCTGGCCACCATGGCCGCGCCCGCGCGCGCTCACACAGTGTCTACTAGAAGCAGAATCGGAGCGCGTTAATGGCGGGTGTCAGTGGCACGAGCCGGTGCGGTTGGGGAGACGAGACGACGCGCGCGCGCGACGGCGACGACGGCCTCCGCGTGATGACTGGCCAGTGCCACTGTGCCACTGAGCTACAGACCAAGAAGTGGCCTCCCGTGCTCGATGCGGTTGGCCGGGTACTTTGCTTGGGTTAGCTCGCGGTTGCACCGGCCGGCCGGCCGGCTCAGGCTCGTGTTTGGGGCTCGTCTCGTCTCACTGCGTGTGCCATCTTTATGTTGACGTGGACGCTGGGACGGAACTGTTTCCCAACCTTTCGGCGTTAGAGGGCAGGCCAAATTGGTTAGCACTTGAAGCCGGTCGCCGGCCGGCCATGTCGATCAAATCGATAGCGAGAGCCGAGAGAGAAGCCCCCCAGCCCCCAGGCATAGCAATCAGTACCATGTCGCTGGTATTCGGTTATGATCCGATGGAGATACGGGGATTTGATGGCGAAAGCTCAGTTTTGGAGCTTCACCCACCACCACTGTCTATCATGCTGTTCGGCTGGGACTGAAACGATCGTATACGATTGCGGATTATTACTGTTGGCTGATTTGGTGTGAGAGAAAAAAATACTATTTTAGCTGGAAATTTACGATCATTTACGATCAAGCGAACAGGCTGTATATTTGGCAAAGATTCCTCGTGTGTTTGGCCGCCGGTTTATTACAGTTTGTACATAGGTTGGTCTTTGCTCTTTGGCTTCTTATCTAATATAAGGTGGTGTTTAGATACAGTGGGTAAAGTTTTGGGATGTCACATCGGATGTTACATGTGGTGTCGCATGGGGTGTTCGGATATTAATAAAAAATAAATTACAGAATCCGTCAGTTAACCGCGAGACGAATTTATTAAGGCAAATTAATCCGTCATTAGCACATGTATGTACCGGAGCACTTTATTGTCAAATCATGGACTAATTAGGCTTAACAGATTCGTCTCGCAAAGTAGTCGCAATCTGTATAATTAATTATTTTTTAGTCTATATTTAATACTCTATACATGTGTCCAAACATTCGATGTGATATGATGTAAAGTTTTGGCGGAGGAACTAAACAACGGCTAATCGTCTGCGATGCTCTCGCACATACAAGGATATTAGAGTATATTTAGTCCTCCCACCGTGGCGGACCGGACGCTGGACGGCAGAGGCCTACGCGGAGATAGAGGAGACGCCACACCCTAGCTTGTGCGCGGCCAGTGGATGGCCATGTCCCTGCCCGCCAATGTCTCGGCCGCCGTGGACGGGTCTCCGTCGCCAATGCCGATGGGTGGCAGGACATCCTATCCCAACAGGAGACACGACCTGCAGCCACACCGGTTGAGCCTCGCCTCCGCAACCCCGGAGGATCCCACCGAGCTTCGAGACAAGTGTTTCAACTGTCTCTCCTACTCACACCGAGTAACGACTTGTCGGCTGTCGAGGCGTTGTCTCATACGCCGCGGCTTCCATCACATTGCCGGGGATCGAAGCGGTCCACGCCGCGACGCGTTAAGGCGGCGGCGAGAGGTGCCAACTCGGCACGACACTCTTGCGTGACGACCAGCGGGGCTCCCAAAGACGCGCCACGCCGCATTGCACCGAAGTTTAGATGGGACCGCGCGAGGGACTATGGCGGATACCGGCAAAGCACCTACCGACGACGACACTGGCGGCGACGCCAAGTAAGCCGACGTGGGGCGTCGGTGTGGCGCAATTGACTACACCAACAATGCCGCTACCTTTCGCCACGACACTCGCTTTCTGAGCCGGCAGACACCGGTGTTGGCTATGTGTCTGGCGAAGCGACCTCCCGCATGGGTCGCTCTTGTTGACCCGATCTTCGGAGAAGCTCGCCGCCTCACTCGTCGTGAGTCGACCAAATGAGTACCAATACCAACGCCTCCTCGAAGGTTGAAGCACCGTTGGTGGACACCCGTTCACCGGCGACGGCACCTCAGCTGACGACGGACTCGTCTATGTTGTCACCAGGGCAAGGACTCCCACAACTCACGCCACCTCGGGTGGGACAGCTCGGCGTCGCAGATGGGAGCACAGCAGGCACACCCCCGCCGAGACTCCCACGCCGCGTGAAGCTGCTCGGTGTCTCGCACGGTTCACTGAGGAAATGCAGCTCAAGCGGCGGTCGCCATTGATCGCCAGTCCACCAAGGCAAAAGGTAGCAACCACTAGGCAACAAATCCCACTTAGGAGCAGGCGGATTGCCACTCCAGCCCTTGGCGCACATACCAACCGCCAAGCGGAGCGAGGTACTCCTCATGCAGAAGATGGGCATCGTGCCACTGACGGCTCCAGTTTCATGTGCGTGCAAGAGAACATACGACTCCCTATTTGCACGGAACTTGACGCTTCGACCACGTGGCAGCCCGGACGAAATATTTCCGACCACCAACAACGAGAGGTGGTAGAAGAGCGCTCTTCTAGGATGGTGGAGTAGGGTCGCCAGCAAGAATGGAGACGCCCAATTTCAGTAGGTTCTGCTTGCGCTGCTCGAAGTTCGGTTGTTTACTATTTATGTATTATCGAAGTTTGAAAGTATGCTAGGAAGGTCCAAAGAATAGGCGTAAGACCACCTAGGACGCTCATCGAAGTGTGTCGCTTTGTATGGTTAAACTATTCTTCTTAGTTACAATGATATGCAAATCTTTTGCGTATCCGAGAAAAAAAATAATATTTCTAGATACATAGCAAAATAGATAAACGAAAAAGTCGAATCAACTTATAACGTGGAACGGATGGAGTAGTTAAGATTGTAATCAAGTATTACCACATGTATCCGGAGAGATCACTTGCCCTCAAGTCACTGTAGATATATACCGTTCAAGAGGCTTTTTTTAAGGTACCGTTCAAGAGGCTTAATGCAATACATCCACGTATTATATGCAATTCGTAGCATTGAAGAAATACATATGCATGCCAGAAATATCCTGCCTTATTTAGCCATTGCAATATTTTAACAAATTGTATTACACAAATGTGGCAAACTCAAGTAAGGAAAACGAGTACGGATGATGTTGTACTGCGATGATGACCCAAAACATGTTCATTTAGGGTGATGAATGAAACACTAAAAAAAAATGGTGGAATTCTCCTAGTATTTTTAAGTAGTAATAAAGGTCCCGTCCTTTGGTCTGAAATTTAGCTGAAACTGGTTGAAAAACACTGTTCCGGCTAAATTGTTAGGAGAGAAAAACACCGTTCCGGCTGAAAAAAGAAGCCGAACAAGCCATTTTTAAGACAAACGAACGGGGCCAAAATACTACCATTAGTCATAGCACATGGAAGTCCTCACTAGAAGGCATTTGGTAGAAAAATTTATACTAAATTTTAAATACTAAAACATTAGGAGAAACCCATGTCATTAGAAAAGTTTAAAATTCTAGTTGTAAAAGGCATTTGGATCTTTGACCATATAGTGGAATTATTTTCATTCTCCTCTTGGTTGCCTCTTATCCTATTCTTCTTCGGCATGACACACTCAAACCATCAAGAAAACACAAAATAACGAAACTTACTTCTCTAAGCCTCCTACCTCTCCACCATCACTCCTACGACCCTGAGGCATTGTACACCAAAATTTACATCTTTAAGTTTGGCAGCACGCAAATTTCGGTGGTAGTCGAAAGAAAAATCCGAAATTTTGTAATATCCTAATACATGTGCTATATAACTCTAAAGTCATATTTCTATTGTTTATATTCCATATTCTTCTATTCAATAGATGTGTAGTCATAAATTATACTAATATTTTTTAGATCTATTTTTAGAAAAAACATACTTCATGTGCTAGTCTCTAAAAAATTTCAAGAATTTCAACCAATTTCATGAAATTGATAATTTTGGTGGTGCCCGAAATTTTTACAATACCGAAATTAAAAACCTTGATAATAGCTTTATCGACTTATTCTCTTCATGTTGAGAAGAGAGATAAAGACGGTCCTTTACTACAACATAGCACAGTTGACGAAGAAGCCGAAGCCGGAGTTGGACGGAGCTCCACCAAATGGACCTCAGGAACACGTTGTAAGCCCTTCCTCGAGTGGACTAGTGGCTACATAGGCATTGACTATATGCCCCTAATCAACTCCTACAAACGCCTGCTCATTTGTCCGATTTTCATTAAATCCTGGTGGAAAACACTGTTATTATCTGAATTGTTGTGAGAAAAATCATTCTTACTAAAAAAAATAAGCCGAACAAGCCAAATTTAAGACAAGCGAACGCCATCAAAAAGTTTAAACCCAAACAGCTAGATAAAGCAAGAGGGGTTGTGTGATAGCCTAGTATGTTAGGATAAGACAGACATAGGGCCTATTTATTTGAGTTGCAGCTTTTGGACTTTTGACTCAAAAAACTAGTTTTTGGCTTTTGACATTTTGCTATTGGCTTTTGTAATAAATATTTAGCTTTGTACACCAAAAGCTAAAAATATCGTTCTTAACGTGCTTTTCAACTATTGTTAGTTTATTTCATCAAAAGTCAGATTTCCAGTTTTTCAAAAGCCGGTTCAATAAATATGCCTTTTGTTTCAGTTTCTATCTTCTGGCTGACAAAAGCTAGATACAAGTTGAAACAAAGATGCCAATATTGTTTAGTTTTTCTTTAATTCTTTGGAAAGGTCCCAATATATATAAACCAAATGTCTTGTGTACTTTGACTAACAATACGTCAAATTATAAGTATGTCCATGGAATAAAAGTTATATACAACTGGATTCACATTTCGCTGCTTTCACTTTATTGGTTTTGTACCTATTAATGATACAGAGTATTACGCAATGAAAGAAAGGTTAAAGTGTTACTTATAATTTAGAACGGAGAAAACATTATACAAGGAAAAAAATGATTAAAAAATAACTTAGAAGGCCGAAGGAAATGAAACTAAAATACGCATTGTTATTCATGGACGGATGAGGTACTTCTAAGCCACTCCATTTTATTAAAATAAAATCGTAAAAACTTGGCAGCGGCGCTGTAACTGTAAGTTGTTGAGTGCTGGGGAACAGGAATAAGTTGCTTGTCCATGGGCCATAAGTGTGTGTGGACTCTTTGGACTGGAGGAGGCTGGAGCAGCGCTCAAGTTGAGCAACTGCAGTGGCATTTCCTCTTATACATATGTCGAACTCGTGAAGCGATTTTGGGGAGTGGGATTGTCTGTTAACGACGCCGGTGTTTCGATTCGACGCGATGCGATGCGCAGGATCATTATGGTTTCTTGTGCCCACGCGAGGGTGACCAGATCCGTGTAATAGCCCAACGGCCGATCTGTTCCCACTTTAAAGCTCACTTCTTGCTTCAGGGTTTCAGAATTCAAGAGCGTCACCCAAATTGCTCATGCCACTTGCATAATCTAGAAGCAGAACCATAAATCAGAGGAAAGCTAAAATGGCGCCTGCCAGAAAAACAATTGAAATAAACCACTTTGCACAGCTTGGAGCAATGGTCAATCGCTGAAAACAGTTTTGTCAAATACAAACAGATCAAAGTATACCATTACTATTTACATCGATTTGTTTTGCTTTTGGAGATAACCTAATTCAATACAATTGGTAATGTACTTCCCCTGCTTTGCCATATCCATCTGAAGGGCAGAAATCTGAAAGGACGTCCTATGCTGAAGCCACTGACTGAGCATATGAGAATCCTGCAGCTTGGCTATCTTTATCACTCGATCTTCGTTTCATCGTTTTCTTGATCTCCTCCTCCTTCTTGTCGACAAACTGGATCAGCTCTTTGAAGCTGCCAAGGCGTGATAGTCGCCGCTGTCTTATGACAGGACCAGCGGCACCTGCGCTGGGCTCGCCAGCAGCTTCAGAACTGGAGTACTGGTTGTACTGCCAGCAGACTCGTATGAAGAATACCAGCAGAGCGAAGAGGCATATCAGGGCACACACAAGGAAGAGGCCCCAAAAGCTTCCGAGGCCAAGCCTGGTTGCTCCCACTTCGCTGTCATCTGAGGAGCAACTAGACCGTGAGAACCACTCGTCGTGGATTCTCTGAAGTTGGCCACTCTCTGAAAGTTGAAGGATTGCTGTCGATAAATCTGCAGCAAGGGGGGAGTCTCTCTGGAATGCCTGTAAAGAAAAACAATGGAGCAGAATAAATCATTTCCATTATAGTGCCAGACATGGATGTGTGCTTCCCTGAGATGAAGTAAATGAGGGAAGAGAACAAGATAAAGGACAACGAACATACAAAGCCCCATCCTTCCTTTGTGAATTCCTCTCCCACTATTCTGAATTTGCAGTAGTTTGACAGGAAGATATCAATATATGGCTTCTCATCAACTATTGCAGCAACACCGCCGTATTTTGGTCCACGGTTAAGGGCATCAGCATATTCCTGGATCGTATTCAGTGGTACCAGTCGAGAGAGAGGAACATTGAAGTTTTCACTCAGGTACCTTTTGGTAAATTTTCCGGCCTGGTATCCAATAGGTAAAGAACTTGAAACCAAACTATCAATCCCTGTAATTCCAGTTGAGAGCTGTTGGACAGTGAGGATTGACGTCAAGCTAGCAGTGTAACTTGAAGTGATGATCAGCACAACGAACAACCATATTATCAACACGAACCGCCCAAGTGTGCTTACAGTGTTCTCTCCTGAAGTGAGTTTCTCATCAAGACGTTTCCATGCATATAGGCAAAGAATCATGGAAGAGTTTATAAGTTAATATCATGGACGCGTCTAGTGGACTTACTGTGTGCGAAGAACATTGTTGAGAAGCTAAACCTGAAAGAGAAGCACATATCATCCGTCAATTCCTGAAGTTAGCAACTAAGCATTTAGAAAAAAAAAACCACCAACAAAATAACAGTAAATCATAAGATGAGCATGAATTGAATAAAGCTAGAAACATTTTTCAACCATAATGGTATTGCCAGTCTGAACTTTGACTCAAACAAGGTAAGGTAAATTAGGACAAAAACCATCCACAAAGTTACAACATGCAACAAACGTACCATAACATTGTTATGACTTGTCGCTTTGAGAGCCCCAAATTCCTCATTAGTACGATGTTCAAGAAGCCAAACTACTACACCCACCAAAATAAAAAGAGCAACTGTGACACACCACATCTCCAATGTGAAAGGTTCAAGGAAAGCCCAGGCACTTGAAGTTACATGTTTCACGGGCGCTACTATCATCACAAGCCCTGACTCAATATAAGGCTGTGTGTATTCTGCAAGCTGCATTCCATTTCTCACTATAGCAAAGTCGCCTACAGCTGCATCAAGTGACTAAATGAAAATGAAACAAATCAGAGTTCTGTCAACAAAATTGTGAAATAGATTGGGACAGGAATGAGGGCATACATTGGCAGCAACCATTCTAATGATGTCAATATAGCTAGGGTTTTTTGTGCCATCCCCAATAGTTATAAATTGGTAAGGAACTGGGTAAGGAAGCAGTTTAATTGCTGCGTTGAATATCTCGATGCAATAACCACTCATGTTATCTCCTCTGCCTGACACTAATTCCTTAAAGCTTGCTTTAATTGGAACCCCAACTCTCAGAGGTTGGCCAGTGTTTGGGAATACCCATCCCTGAGGCTTAGTAGTGGAATCACCAGGCCATACCACATCATGCAGCTGCTGGGCACTTGTAGATGTATTTCGTGGCATCTGATACAAAATTTCAGGAGCAGCCACGGAAAGCCCAGAATAGTTAGACCAATAGCCAATCAAGCGGAGCCAGAGCCAGCAACATTAAGGATATCATACGCTGGGCATCCAAATTGTGGTCTGAATCAAACTGGACTGGACCTGTAACACCTGTAAAGTTTGTGAGGAGAAGTTGCTGCAGCATCTGCTCACCACCGTCAAATATCTTCAGAGTTGATAGATGCAACGTGCTGTCATTTAAATTTTGTAACCTGGGATCTGTTGAGAAGTTGATCTGTTGCTCACTACTGAGAAATTTATCGACAGCACGAGCAACTGCCCAAACCGAGTCATAAGCATAAAAACCATACGAGTTCAAGCCAGAGGTAATATTTCTGTTACGAGCCACATTATTCCATTTAGATATGAACTTATCCTTGGCATCAGATTCAGGAATGTGCTGACGCAGAACAATTAGTCCCTGAATATAACTCATATCTTTAAGTTCTCTATATGCTGAGGAATCAAGGACAGCAGCTAGCCAATCAGTTACTATCCAGACATAGCCACTGGCCATCATTTGGAGGTTCTTAGCTACAGAAAATATTCTCATCCCCGTGTCAGGATTGACATGCACAACCATGACCCTTGATTCCATCATATTTGCTCTAAATAGTACATCATTGATCACGTCTGTATTTGAATTTGGAGGAATAGCTGCTTTATATGAAATCTTTGCCCTCTTTAATGCAAGCGCATCACCGAGGGCTTCCACGCCACCTCGCCCATAATCATCATCAACGAATATAGCAGTCACTCTTTTCCATTGATAGTAATCAACAATGCTAGCAACGGCATTCATTTGGAAGTAGTCACTTATGGTTGTCCTGATGAAGTACGGATACTCTGATGCAGAGAGAGTTGGATCTGTAGCCGCAAATGATAGAAGAGGTACATGTAGCTCATTAACAGCATGGGAGATGACATGGCCTATCCCAGAGGATTGTGGGCCAATCACTGCAACTACGCTTTTTTCCATTAGCCGCAACGCTGCAACCAAGTAAGGTTTCTATGAATCAGTTCATGCACCGTCAAAGTAAAAGTGACAGTTGAGGTACTGAAGTTAATTTCTGATGTCTTTCAAGCCAAGAAAAGATGACAGCTTATTGTACTCGTGCCTATAAAGATCCCACTAATTTTGTCCTTAAACTTTATGCATGTCATGCAAACTTTATTTTCTGATAAAAAACAGGAAAACTAGCTGTGATTCAAACAAAGAAACAGTCTCCAATAAACCTATATAGTTTACTTTGTTCTGGTTCTCAAACTTGACAGAAGGAAACAAAGAATCTTGAATGAGAATAAAGTGAGGAATTGGATGCTCCTAACAGCTGACACATGTTTCCTGCATCCTACAGAATACCTTAACCGATTTCACAAGTTAAGCCATTTGTGGTACCACTCCATCAGTAACAGCTAACACATGTTTCCTGCATCCTATAGAATACCTAACCGATTTCACAAGTTACGGAACCACTCCATCTGTTGCTCTTCTATTGCCAGGACAATCGGGTTAGTAGAATTCTTAAGCTATTTTTGCATAGGTAGATCAATATGGATATGGATAAGTGAACGCATAATGAGGGGAACAAGTGGAAGTGATCTAGAGACTAGAGAGTGGTATTTAAGTAGAATGAGGGGTCAGGGTTCATAGGCATCCGAAAGCATGGATGGGGTGTTGACCAAGTGACAAAAAGTATCTTATTTATTTGAATGTTACAAAAATTACTGATACCGACGATTATCAGTGTCCAATGTATATTCGAGGAGCATCATTATCTGATATGCAAACTTTTGTAAGTATCTGTGCAATCATAGTTCTTCAGAAAGGAATATGTTATTATAAGATACTTTTGATCGACGTAAGACAAACAGAAAAGCTAACATTGTCAAATCATCTCATGAAACACGAGCCGAGCAATTATTAAGAATATAAAAATCCGACCAGTAGGAGTACCTGGCTTAGTTTGACTAAACCAATAATACAGTGGGACTGAATAGTCCCCTCCCATCCGCCTCCTATGTTATGAAGGCAGTAAAGTTCTCTCTTGGATCAGTCAAGATTTTGTTCAGGTTTTTAGACAAACAATCAACTTTTCCTCTTTTATGCTCTACTAATAATAAGTACTCCTAATAAAAGATGAAACAATAGGATTAAGACTACTGTTACAGCTGCTGGCTATAATATTTCCTCAAAACTTTGAAACAGCTCTGTATCCAAAAAGGCCTCAATATTTCCATTTCCGCTGCTACCTATGCTTTAATTCTAATTCTTAACTATATAAAAAAAGGGGAAAACTTTTTTTTTGAAAGACCAAAAAAAAAACTTCTTCTAGAAACATGGACATGAGCAACTGAAGAAAGAGGGGGAAACGAAAACCGAACCTTCGATGGTCCCAAGAAAGCCGCTGCAGTTGGTGTCCTGGGGCACCAAATTGAGCTGGGTCCCGGGGAGGACCTTGCCGTCCGCGTTGACGTCATCGACGGCGAGCTCGATGGCGAGCTGCGCCGCGCGGCCAATTGTGGAGTCGTACGTGAAGAGAGCGCCGACGGTCACCTCGCTCGGCCGCGCCCCCGACGCCGACGCCGCCCGCGTCGCGGCGGCAAGCGCCAAGAACAGAATCACCAACTGAGCCGCGTCCATTACCCGGAATTCAAGCGGCACTAGAGGCTAGAGCACGGCGCGGGGGCCGTCGAGGGCTGGAACCTTGGTACCAACCGTATCGGTCAGCTCGGAGACGAAGAATGACTGAATGAGAGGCGCTGGGAGGATGAGGGACGGCGACGGCAGGGAGCGCTGGTTCTCCAAAGCCGCAAGGATTGGGTGGAGCTATGGTATTATCGCAAAGCAAGATTCTGGTTTTGAGGTGGGAAAGGAGGGCAGTGAAGAGGACGACAACTGGTGAGGAGCCGAGCTCTCCCTCTCCGCGGGATGCCGGGAAGAGGCTTTGAGGAGCCGACGCACTGTACCGGAGTTGACTCGAGTCTCCGAACTCTCTGGGGACTGCCGGATCTGAGTCCGAACTCTCGGAATGCGTAGGTGTGAAGTCACGCATGACCCAAGCGCGCACAGCTGAGAGACAGCGAGCGCGAGATGGAGATTGGAGAGGTTGAGGGTGAATGGGTGATGCTACCGCGCGACGGAGACGGGAAGGAAGGAATTTTGTCGTCACGGATGTCGGACGCAAGGCGAGAAAGATTTTTTTCCCCCCGTGCCAAGTCGCAGCCAGGTCCGTCGGTGGACAGCGTCTCCATGGACCAGTAATTTTTCAACAATTCTGATCTCTCCGTGTGATAGCGTATAAATAAGGGTCTTGGTTGGCTTCTAATTATTGCCCCATAAAAATAATGGCGTACAAAAACTTTTAGTCATCAATTGATTTATGACCAAAGAATTGACACATCAATGTTTATAGCTAAAGTTTTAGCAAGTCTCTCTTGAATCTTTTTAAACTGTATAAGAGAGAAAATGTGTTTTCTACTATTATTACAGCACTTGATCAAATGCACACCTATAATTTTGCCCTTACTTTAGTGCAAGCCTATGTTTTGACTTGCCATGATTTTTTAGTTGGGTAAGAATTAGAAGCAAACCAAGCAAGCCCTAAAGCCCTTTGCTACCATTTTCTTTTTCTTTTTTCCTTGAGAAGTACTCCATGTCCAAGAACAAAAATGCAATTCTAGTATAATATTATGTTTTATATTTTAAGATAGATGAATTATTAGATTAATTATGAAATGCGTTTTCATAATAAATTGATTTGAAGTCATAAATGTGAATATTATTTATAAGAAACTTGGTCAAATGGGAACAACTTTAATTGTCACGCAACCTATAATTACATTTTTTTTCTTGGATGGAGAGAGTACCAAAGGTGGAGAATAAATGCAAGTTCTTCCTCTGGCTACTATTGCAAAGGAAGCTGCTCACGTCGGATCGAATAATTAAACAGGGAGGACAAGCAAACCCAATTTATCAGCTGTGCAGAACACGGAATGAATTAATGACACACATGGTTGCAAACTGCCCTTACTCCAAAAGAGTCTGGCAACACATAGCGCAGCAGACCGGCCATCTAAACATTCAACCAAAGCAATCGGTTAGCAATCTGAAACTATGGTGGTCTGATCTATTGGGTGAAACACAAACAGCTGATCCAGAACTTAGAAATCAAATCATCACATATACGACATGGAACATTTGGAAGGAAAGATGTCGACGAGTATATGACAACAAAGCACTGACGGAGATACAACTAGTGGCTGTAATCAGACAAGAGGTGGCTACGCTCAGGCAGGTGATGCAGATGTTGGACACCTAACCGGCATGGCTTGATTTCTATCTATCTTTTTTCATCCTTTTTCTTTTATGTTTCCCCTTATTGGGTCATCAGACCTTAATGTACATTTTTCAATCCCTACTAAAATGAAAAGGCAGAGCACCCGCCATTGCCCTCAAAAAAAACTTGTCCACATTTCATTTGGCTTGCTAGATTTGTGGCAAATATTTTGACCCAATTTTTTTGACAGCTTTTGCTTGACAAATCTTTGCCATGACCAATTTTAATAGCAAATCAACCATGTCGTGAATTGTTCCTAAAAAAAAACATGTCCTGAATTAGCTCAGTCTCGTCCTTTGCCCCGCTCATGTATCTGCACTATTCTTTTGCCTCTTCTCTCCCCTCCCTGTCCTCCATAAGTGATGCCATAGCCCTTGTCCCTTTCTTTTCAACCATGTTCTACCATGCGTCGACCATCTCTTGGTCAACGAGGCCAGCACCAATGGGCAGTAGGACTTGTGCACCGTTCCCATGGGCCAGGATCGTCCAAGGCTCACTCTTCCCCCGTGCTCGCACTACAACAATAGGACACCTCCATTGTTGAGTCATGATACATCACCAATGGACTATCATGATGTTGACCTAGGCGCCGCCACACCTAGGAAGGAGCACACATCGCACGTCGTTCACATCTTCGGCGTTGTTAGTGACCAAGGCCACACACACATGTGTGCCCGTGTGTCCCCTGGTACCATCGAAGTCGAGTTTGGCGAGAACAAGAATTGAAGTAACATCGAAAACAGTCTGCCCACTTCACGTTGTGGATCCGAGTCCTCAAAGTCCTTGGTTCGTTGTACTCCGAGTCCACAAATGGATCCTTTTTCACGCTGGTGTTGACTATTTTGCCCTCAAATATTCTGAAATATTTGTAAAATCCTAATTTGAGTTAAGGACAAAGTGGTGTGCCTCTACGGTAAATAACTCCTATATACATGGAAAGACCATTAATGCCTAATTCACTCTCTTCTAACGTTCCTTGGCATTATTTCCATTTTGGGCATGCAACTTTTATTACTTATTAAAATATTTTTCCACTCCAACATTCTATTATACTTGGATAACGGCATCAAAGAAAATAATATAGTCGTCGGTCTATGCTGTTCCAGTGAAAAATAAACATTGCCTAAGGAGGTGATTTTTTTTTTTCTAACGGATATCAGGTACTAGTGGAGTACTGCTCTGCTGCTCACGTGCTGCTCTCGCCACATCCCTAGTTCCCTACCGCCGCAGTTGTCGTGATCTCATCTCACCACCTGCCAACATTCTTGGCATTGTTCCGGCTTTCAAATTCCTGGTGCCGCCCTCATCGATCTGACCTCCATTACCAGCGTCATCTTTGTGGTCCGGGCTTGAATCTTCGGCATGCCCTTATCTCACCTCACCTGCAAAGTCACAGTTGTTCTAGATTTGATCCATGACATCATCCATTATTATTATATAAGCGACTTTTAGAGGTATCGATTTTTTTTATCCATGGTTGTATCATGAACTACGTCTAAAAGTGGCTCTAGAGACAGATATCGTTTTTTAGAGTCAATTGCATTTTTAGAGGTGATTGGTGTTTCTAATTGCCTATAGAAATACTATTTATATGGACGGCTGGTGCTACAGATTGCCTCTAAAAATAAAACTATTTCTTAAGGTGATTGATAGAAATAGCATTTCTAGAGAGGTAGTCATATACCGACCGCTTTTGGAAATCAGTCCGGCCTATTTATCCCGAATACTCAACATCTTTGTTAAGACACAGACAGCCACCAAAGGCCTCTCACCCACTCTCTTCTATCCACTCAGCATATCCACCCATGCCTCTATCTTCTCTTTACTCCATATATGACCTCTCTTTTCTCTACCATACAATAGGGGCTTAGCTTGTGACGCGGTAGTGCCTCGGCTCAATGGCGGACCCAGGATTTGTAAAAGACTAGGGCCAAATTTTAGCGGCCAAACTTTGAAAGCCAGGAACTCGAGAGAAATACGATGCTAAACTCCTAGAACTCTTCATATTGTACACTGTAATTTTAGAATGTAACTAGAATCCAACCTCAACAAACTGAGAAGGATTGAAAATTGAAATTGGAAAACAATACAAAGGGTTGCAGCTGCTCTGGCAGCTCCTGTCTTCCTGGGGGATGGGACGGCCACGGCTGGGGCTGGGGGCTGGGGCGCTGCCACGTTGGGCGGCGGGCGGGCAGCCGGCGACCGGCCGAGACGCCGAGGGCGCAGCCGGCTGCCGCGCAAGCCGGAGCCGCGAAGCCAGCGAGGGGCGGAGCGCAAATGCGGAGCGAAGGCCGGAGGGAGGCAGGGAGTGACGCGTGATGGCGACACCCTTGGTGGCGAGGCGGGCGACGACGCGACTCCAGACGGAGTGACAGACGAGGATGAGGTGCGACTCACGAGCGAGGTGGCGTGAGTCGGATGAACGTGCTGCCCTATTCCCAGCTGAGCTGACTCCTTTGTTGGGTTGATGGGCCAAAAAAATTGAAGAGTTGCTCCCTGTCTATGCCTCGGCTGAGAGGCTCAGAGTGGCAACGTGATGGGGCCTCGGCAAAGCGGTTCAGCTGGCAGCGCAGTGGGCGCCATGTTGAGTGTATTGGGTAGGGGGGTGCTTGGCCTTGGCAGATTCGACGGGAGAAGGGCTCAGCCATGGCTGATCTGGCGAGGGAAGTGCTGGCCACAGTAGGCAGCTGGGTACAACCAATTTGATGGCCAGCCACAACAATTTTTACTCATCCACAATGGATGTGGTGAACGGCTAGCAAATGGCAATGGTGTGCTGCATATGGTCATCGTGCATCTTTTTATAAGAGTCGGTTTCTATAGGCGAACAACTCCCGCTCTAGAAATTCAATTTATAGCTGTGGTCTTGTAGCCACAACCGAAGATCTTTGATTCCCAGAGACCCTGCAACCGTCTGTGCAAACCGATTTTATTTGATCAGTCGTGCAAGTCGGTTTTGTAGCAGTGGTCATCATCCCGTCCTTGTCGGCATGGTCGTGCTCTGTGCTTGCCGCTTCAGTGCATGTCTTGTTCATTGCCTCAATTTGACCCATGCTTTCTTGAAGTCAAACACTTGAGGTGCTGCAAGCCTGCAGCTCCAGCACCATGGTTGTCGTAGGTGTTTGTCTAGGCAATAATTAAGGACGGGCAATGGTAACGCCGATGGCCTTGAGCTCTGCGTTTTAGCTGTAAGCATGCAACAACGGCAGAAGTCATGAAAAACTTGAAACACCTCAGATTTATATTTCAGCAAATAAATCCATGTATATTTGCTGAAGTCATCGATGAAACTAACATAGTATTT